CTTGCGGAGTTCGCCTACAACAACAGCTATCATTCTAGCCTTGGCGCCTCGCCATTCGAGATGTTGTACGGGCGGAGATGTCACACCCCGGTTTGTTGGGGCGAAGTTGGGCACAGGGTGATGGGTAGTACGGAGGTAGTCTTGCAGACTACCGAAAAGATCCAGCAGGTTAGACAGCGTTTGCAGACCGCTCAGAGTCGGCAGAAGAGTTATGCCGACAAACGCCGATCCGAGTTGGATTTTCAGGTGGGTGACATGGTCCTCCTGAAGGTATCACCCTGGAAGGGTGTCATCAGATTCCGAAAGAGGGGCAAGCTGGGCCCCAGGTTCATTGGTCCTTTTAGGGTTTTGGCCCGGGTGGGTCGGGTCGCCTATCGATTGGATCTCCCGGCAGAGCTTAGCCAGATCCACAACACTTTCCATGTTTCTCAGTTGAGGAAGTGTTTGGTGGACGAGTCAGCAGTAGTACCATGGAGGATATTCAGGTTGATAGCAGCCTGGATTATATCGAGAGACCAGTTGTGATCTTAGATCGAAAGGCGAAGACCTTGAGGAACAAGGTGGTTCAGTTAGTGAAGGTGCAGTGGCAGCACCGGAAGGGTTCAGAGTGGACGTGGGAGTCCGAAGAGGAGATGCGGGGGCATTACCCGGAGTTGTTTTCAGATGCAGCAGCAGCAGACTTCGAGGACGAAGTCTGAGAAAAGTGGGGGAGAATTGTAACGCCCCGTTCCTGGTACGTATTTAATTTGATTAAATGTTTCTTTTTGTAAGAGCTACTCGGCGAGTTGTAGCCCTAACTCACCGAGTAGATGTCGAATTGGACGCGGGCTTTAAGTGATCTACTCGGCGAGTCCACGCCTGGACTCGGCGAGTAGGCCAGTCAGGAGGAAACCCTAATCCTTAGGGTTTGCACCCTATTTAAACGTCCTTATAGCCCCATCTCAGCCTCCATCACCCTCAGAGCATTCCTTATCAAAACCCTAGTCACCATTGGTGAGTTTGAGTGATTGTTGCCTTGTGAAGGGACTTTTGGTGCACATTGGAGCAAGTGGAAGAAGGAAGGGGGTTGAAGAGCTCAAGGAAGGGGACTTAGATCCAGAACACATTCATTTGTGGTCACCCATTCTGGTAATAAAGTTTCCATCTTGATTATTGATCTATTAGATCTTGTTTGTCCCTAAATTGTTGCTTTTAAGCCCTAAAACCCCAAATCCTTGGTAGAGAAACCTTATGGTTGGGCTATACTTCAGATATGGACCTTCATTACCTTCTAGAGTTGTAAAGTCTCAGTTATGTTCGTGATTGAGGTCCCTCTTGAGCTTAGAACCCCATTAAGAGCTTAGTTTTGACATTTAGAGCCCTTAAAGCTATGCATGCATGTAAAGTTTGCAACTTTACGTGATAAGCATGCCCTAGAAGCCTATATCTGTGGTTTGGAGCCGCTGCATGGCTCAAACCAGGTCTGTATGGAAAAAGGACCGAATGAACTCGGCGAGTAGAACGCTGGACTCGGCGAGTCCTATGAACATAGCCGTGAACTCGGCGAGTTGGTTGAGCAACTTGGCGAGTTAGTTGAAGATAGCCGTGAACTCGGCGAGTTGGTTGAGCAACTCGGCGAGTTAGTTGAAGATTGCCTTGAACTCGGCGAGTTGTTAGAAGACTCAGCGAGTTGGCTAGGGTTTCTTCCAAATCTTGGCCACGTATGAACTCGACGAGTTAAAAAGGGAACTTGACGAGCCAATCAAGGATTTCACGACTTCTCGAGTTCAGGAAGGACTCGACGAGTCGGTGATCTGCACTCGACGAGTCGAGTCAACATAGACTGTTGACTTTGAGTGTGGACTTTGACTTGGACCAAGGGTTGACCAGTTGACTTCTGATGGTTTCTGGTAATTGGGAGATTTATGAAAAAGGTTTGTATGGTACCTATAGGTGGTGGAGTTCGTGTTGGACCCAGGAGTTGAGCCTTCTTATTTCCGACGACAGTTGCGAGGTGAGTTATCCTCACTATACTAAGGGGTCTAAGGCACCAAGGCCGGCCCATTGGATATGATATCCTAGTAGTTGTATTATGTTGAGTACGAGTTAGTTATGCATGCTAGTTTGATACGCTAGAGGGTAGGTCTGTAGGACTACCTGTGATACTGATTGATTGTCTGTATGTGCATTATCTGTTACATGTTGATATGTTATGTGGGATGGGTTGAGGTTGTACTGCTCCGTGCGGTAGCCAACAAACCCTAGAGTATTCCAGATATGAGCTGAGGGCCCGATAGGCATTCCAGACTCATACTGAGGACTTGGGAGCATTCCAGATACGAGCTGAGGGCCCGGTAGGCATTCCAGACTCGTACTGAGGGCTTGGTGGCAATCCAGATGTGAGCTGAGGGCCCGGTAGGCATTCCAGACTCATACTGAGGACTTGGGAGCATTCCAGATACGAGCTGAGGGTCCGGTAGGCATTCCAGACTCGTACTGAGGGCTCGGTGGCAATCCAGATGTGAGCTGAGGGCCCGGTAGGCATTCCAGACTCACACTGTGGGCCCAGGGGTATTCCAGTCTGTAAAGCTGTGGACCCGTTATGTGCTGTTCTGCTCAGTTTGTTATGATATGTCATGGTGTGACATGGTTATGTGGACTGTATGTGTATCGATATTTTGGGGGTAACTCACTAAGCTTTCGGGCTTACAGTTTCAGTTTATTGTTTCAGGTACATCAGGGGATCGCGGCAAGGCGAAGGCATGATCGTACAGCTCCTCCTATTATGTTATGTTTCTGGGAAAACTCTAATATAAATGTATTTTGAAAACAAAGTTGTAATGTTTTGATAAATTCGACATGTTTTGAAAGTTTAAATTTGGCTTGAATTTTTGGGTGTTACACAGAAGTTATATGTTTCCCGGCACGTTACTTTTTTGGAACATATTCCTTTCTACTCAATTCCTGCTACAGTTCACAATGTAACGAAGTCCGATCTTCTGTGTATTGATACTTTTAATGAAGATATAGAGGCTAAAGACTCATCTATGCCACATGATCCCTCAGCTCATGACACACCCACTTCTTCAGAGGGTGCCTCGACTCCACCTGTTCCTGAGCCTGATCCTCCGATTATTGAAGTTGAGGATCCACCTCCACCACCACCCCTCAGGAGATCTTCTCATCCTGTCAAGTCCACCAAGCTACCAGATTTTTCTTACTCTACATATTCAGGACCGTTTGCTTCATTTATAGCAAGCATCCATCATCTGTCTGAACCTGAATCATATAGAGAAGCTGTTTGAGATCCTCTTTGGCAGAATGCTATGGCTGAAGAACTCACTGCTCTTTATCAGACTCATACATGGGATTTGGTTTCTCTTCCTCCTGGGAAACATACGATAGGTTGTTGTTGGGTGTACAAGATAAAAACAAAAGTTGATGGTTCTGTTGAACGATATAAGGCTAGACTTGTAGCAAAAGGGTATTCTCAACAGTATGGTTTTGACTACGAGGAGACATTTGCCCCAGTTGCAAAGATGACGACAGTTCGTACTATGATTGCAGTTGCATCCGTTCGACAGTGGAAGATCTTTCAAATGGATGTCAATAATGCTTTTTTGAATGGTGACCTTCATGAAGAGGTTTATATGACCCCTCCTCCAGGAATTCAGCACCGACCGGGTGAGGTTTGTCGGCTTCGCAAAGCTTTGTATGGGCTCAAGCAAGCCCCTCGTGCTTGGTTTGAGAAATTCTCCACAGTGATTACCTCTCTTCGATTTGTCCAGAGTAATCACGATTCTGCTCTGTTTGTTAGATGCTTGAGTGCAGGACGGATTCTTCTGTCCTTATATGTGGATGACATCATTATTACAGGTGATGACCATGGTGGTATTGAGTCTTTGAAGCATGATATAGCTCGTCGATTTGCTATGAAGGATTTGGGCTTGCTGCGTTATTTCTTGGGTATTGAGGTTGCTCAGTCTAAGAAAGGGTACCTTCTTTCACAGACTAAATATATATCTGACTTGTTTACACGGACGGGACTTTCTGACAATCAGACTGTTGATACCCCTCTTGAAACCAATGCATAATACTCTCCTACTGATGGTGTTCCTTTGTCTGATCCGAATCTTTATCTCACTGTGGTGGGAAGTTTGGTTTATCTCACAGTCACTCGTCCAGATATTGCTCATGCTGTTCATGTTGTCAGTCAGTTTGTTACTGCACCTACCTCTATTCATTGGGGAGCTGTTCTTCGTATTCTGAGATATCTTCGTGGCACTCAGTTTCAGACTCTCTTGTTTCCCTCGACGTCTTCTCTTGAGTTACATGCCTATAGTGATGCTGATTGGGATGGTAATCGTCATGATCGTAAGTCTACCACTGGATTTTGTGTATTTCTTGGAGAGTCTCTTATTTCATGGAAGAGCAAGAAACAGGATGTTGTCTCTAGATCTTCCACGGAGGCTGAATATCGTGCTATGGCTGTAACTACATGCGAGATTATCTGGTACGGTGGCTGCTTGCGGATATGGGAGTTTACATTTCTTCACCTACTCCCTTGCATTGTGATAATAAAAGTGCGATACAAATTGCGAAGAATTCTGTTTTTCATGAGCGGACGAAGCACATTGAGATTGATTGTCATTTTACCCGTCATCACCTGCAACTTGGGACCATTTCGCTTCCATTTGTTTCATCAACCTTGCAGCTTGCGGATACTTTTACGAAGGCTTTATCGGCTTCTCGGTTTCGGTTCTTATGTGACAAACTCTCAATGCTTATTGCTGCGGCATTGTGAGTTTGAAGGGGGATGTTAGTCTATATATTATTAGCCCGCTTGTTTATGGGCCCTTTTGTCTTTAGCCCATTAGGGTTTCTGTCTAGCTAGTATTTATATCCGCTTTATTCTTTGTAGTCTTTATGCTTTTCTTTGAGAACCCTTGTAATTTCTCTTTGTTATAATCATATGACAATGTTATCACAAATCATATTGGCAAAACAGGTTCAGTGAACCTATGACGTGGATTGGGATCTATATTGCATTCGCATCTCTGCTGTGCATCCTTGCAATGGCGGCTGATTTAATACATGGTCTGCGGCACCGGAAGCTATGGTTTCCGTGTAAATATTTCACTCTGAATGCTGCTTCTCTCACTGTGATAACCGTTGCAATTAAGGTACCCATGGATCTATCTAATCAAACGCAGACTTCAAAGCTTGGGAGCCTGGCCTTTATGTGCAGCGTGATGGCGAATTTATTGCCTTCTCTAGCAACCATGAACAACAAGGAACTTATGGTAAACGTCATAGCTTTGGGTGTTTTGGTAATCACCTTGGTTGTAAATGTTTGCATTCAAATAAACACCGGAGCTTACTCCTACCGTGTATATATGAGGTTCCGAAGGTTGTTTCCCCAAGCTATTCACCTAGTGAAACAGGAGACTATGTCTTCAGAGCAATCATTATTGTGGCTGTGTTACTCATGTTGTTGGTATTATACGCATGTACCTCTTTAGCAATTCTAAAGTCGAAACAGATTTTAGAATCAAAATACCAATCAGTTTTAAAGAAAGAAAACCTGCAACCAGGAGGAAGATTAACTGTTGAGAAGCTAAAGGAATATGTGAGAAAATACTCGATCATGGCAGAAACTGGAAGCCCCCAGTTCATGACAGCTTGTTCTGCTACAACCACTGCTTCTGGGGTATTATGTGCTTTAAGCAGTGTAATATGCCACCGAAATTCACATCGCAGACCAGATCAAAACATAGTTGATTTAGATTACAAGTGGTCAATACTGGCGATTCTTATAATACAATATATTGGAGTCTGGTTGGGTGCTATTGCTCCAATTTCTAGATGTTTTGCAGCCTTGAGATTTAAGCTGTCCGTAAAATGGATTTGCAACCATTTCAAGGTCTTTAAAGTTGAGAGCTACTGGATTCAGAAGTTATCCGATTGGAAACACACTAGCATACCATTCTCATCTCGTAGGCGCAAATGCAAGATTCTCATACAGATTTTGAAAAGCCTAATTCTCTGCATTTGTATAGGATTTCAGATGATAGTCGTGGTAGCATACAAGATGATCACGGTGATACCAGTTTTCGTGGTAATATGTGTACTGTATTTTTTCAGGTGTTGGAAGCGGTTAAAGACCATTTTTAGGATCGTGTTAGGTCATGTGTGTGTTTTAAAACATGAGCAACTACGAGAAGATATAGATCTTAACCGATATGTTTTGCAACTTCAAGACGAAATGGAATTTCCCGAGAGAACACTGAAACGCATTTCAAAGTCTGTGAAACGTTTGATCAAAAAGGCTGAAAAACATCAACCAAAGAATCTTATGAACCTTCTACTGGAATCTCTAGTGGAATCTCGAGGTTTTGAAGGAGTTGGAAAGTTTGACAGCCATCAAGTTCCAGCTTTACTTTCAGAAAAATATCTCAATTGTTGGAGCTTGCCATTGGTAACTCTAACAACCATTGCTATGTCTCTTCCTAACATGCAACAGAACATAGTTGATGTTGGTTGGTGGAGAAAATTGGTGGAGGCCAAATTAGTGGATGGTGATAATTGCTAGTGGTGTGAAGACTCACTCATAAAATTGCAGACAAATTGGAGAAGGAGTGGCAATCAATACTTGTTGCTTTTTTTTCTTTAATTCTCCACCATTGCTTTTGTCCATTGGAATTATTTGAGTTCCTATAAATGCAGAAGGTATCGAGTAAACAAAAAACACAACATAGAGTGCAGAGTGTGTTCATCACAATTGTAATCTTCTCATAATACTAAAATCTCTAGTTGCAGCCCGTGGATGTAGGATTTGCACCGAATCCGAACCACGTAAAATCCTTGTGTTCTTCTTGCTTTATTTTGTGAGTTTGTGAGTGTGTGACATTGTGTTTCCGCTGCGTGTACCCGGTCTGATTCCTAACAACTGGTATCAGAGCCTGGTTAGCGAGGTTTTGGAGGGTACGATCGTTTTTCTGTCACACACGAGTGTACCTTATTTTTTTTTTTTTTGCCGTAATGGCTGAAGACAAGGTTATAATCGAAAGGTTCAATGGTTCTGATTTTAGCTGGTGGAAAATGCAATTAGAAGCATTGCTATGTCAGAAAGACTTGGACGTGGTACTCGGAGACAAACCGGAGAAAATGGAAAAAGCTGCTGAAGATGCGTGGAACTCAAAGGACAAGAAAGCCAAGGCGGTTATTACATTGTCGTTGACGAAGAGCGTTGCTTTCAACATCATGAATGAATCCACGGCGCGTGGTATGATGGAGGCTCTGTCGAATATGTATGAGAAACCATCGGCGGCTAACAAGGTGTTCTTGATGAAGGAGCTGTTCACTACAAGGATGAATGAGGAAGGCTCAGTTACGGTTCACATTAACAATCTAAATTCAATTCTGTCCAGATTATCATCTGTGGGAATTAAATTTGATAATGAGACTCAAGCTTCGCTGCTACTAGCTTCTCTACCTGATAGCTGGTCCGGAACAGTTACTGCTGTTACGAGTTCCGTGCGGACTAGTGGTATGACTTTTGAAGGGGTTAGAGATTTGGTTCTAGGCGAGGATATCAGACGCAAGAATCAAGGTGGATCTTCCTCTTCTGATTTATTAAATGTCGGAAGAGGTAGAGGGAATAGCAGGAATAGTGGGAGCAGTGGGAGTCGGGGAAAAAGTTCTTCTAGAACTTTGAAGAATGTGAAATGCTGGAACTGTCAAGAAGTGGGACATGTTAAGAGTCAATGTCCAAAGAAAGAATTGAACATTGCTGATGCTGAGAATTTTTCTGGGGATGATGCATTGTTACTCAGTATGGAAAGTTCTGTAGACTCTTGGGTCATGGATTCAGGGGCTTCGTTTCACGCCATGGACAACGGGGAAACGATGGTGAATCTAAAAGAAGGAGATTTTGGGAAGGTACGGTTGGCAAATGACGAGATGCTTCAAGTAACGGGCATAGGAGATATTGATCTGGTTACTTCATTGGGAACTACATGGAACCTGAAGAATGTCAGGGTGATTCCGGAGCTGAAAAAGAAATTGATTTCTGTTGGTCAGCTGGATAAACAAGGACTGGAAGTAAGGTTTGGTGGTGGTAAATGGAGGGTGGTCAATGGTAATTCGGTGATTGCTCATGGTATGAAGTGTGGGTCATTGTATATGGTTGAGGTACCTGCTGAGGGAAGTATGACCGTCCCGGTTAAGCATGACAAAATCTGGTTCGCTAAATCTGGTGCTAAGAGAGTTCATTTTGCAAACATGAACTCTGGAGCCAAAGAGATGTTAGCTGAACGAGTTCGAAAGTCTAAACCATTCAGGGAATTTGGTGACAGTAGGAGCACAGGACGTGTTTCAGGTAAAGTTACAAAGAGCCGTTGGGTTTTGAAGACTAAGATTGAAAAATTCTCTCCTGTTGGATGTTTGCTATGTTTGGAGAGTGTTAGTGGTCCTCGGTGTATCTCTGGATCTGGTGGAGTGTCCAAACCGGTTGAGACAGAGGATGAGTCGGTGGTGGGATTAGCCACGACTGAGTTGGAGCTAGTGGGAACTTCAACTGGACCTTCTAGATGATGATGAGGGGCGGCTGCAATTAGAGAAATTGGACTAAGTTTAGCTTGTTCTTGGGAACTGGAGGCTTGGAAGACTTGGTTGTTTTAAGATTACTGGAGAATTGTTGGGTTATTTTCTCCAAGTGGGAGATTGTTGGTTGGTGGAGAAAATTGGTGGAGGCCAAATTAGTGGATGGTGATAATTGCTAGTGGTGTGAAGACCCACTCATAAAATTGCAGACAAATTGGAGAAGGAGTGGCAATCAATACTTGTTGCTTTTTTTTTCTTTAATTCTCCACCATTGCTTTTGTCCATTGGAATTATTTGAGTTCCTATAAATGCAGAAGGTATCGAGCAAACAAAAAACACAACATAGAGTGCAGAGTGTGTTCATCACAATTGTAATCTTCTCATAATACTAAAATCTCTAGTTGCAGCCCGTGGATGTAGGATTTGCACCGAATCCGAACCACGTAAAATCCTTGTGTTCTTCTTGCTTTATTTTGTGAGTTTGTGAGTGTGTGACAGTGTGTTTCCGCTGCGGGTACCCGGTCCGATTCCTAACAGTTGATAGCTTGCTGAGTGGTGTGAGTGAAGGTCTTGTGTAAGCAACACTCGTGGAAGAAAGCCTAAATAATACTGATGATCATGTTATTATTCAAAGGGCGGCTAAAACTTTATGGCTAGAAGTAGATGTATACCGCAAATGGTTAGGAAACAAGTTGCAAAAAGCTGCTCCACTAGCAAAAACAACCAGACAGATTCTTCAATGGTTGAGTGATAAAGAAAAAAACATCGTCACTGAGGTGGAAAGTACAGATATTGGAGGCCGAAATGACAATTCAAGATACAAGTCTATATGTGCCAATTCAATGTACCGTATCACCGAAACAATCCTGCTCTCCTACTACTCCAACATTGACGAGGTTAGCCAAGAGGAACTATTTGCACAGTTATCCTCAATGATCGCTGACATATTGGCTGCATGTCTCACCAACTTACCCCAAGTCATTGCAATGAAATGCCACACAAGTTTCATAGAGAAAAGGGAGGCAAGTGTCCAAGTTGCAGCCCAACTTCTAGGTAAGACTACACAGATAATCAACATCCTTCAAGATCGTGAGCTTCCAAGCTTAAATGATACTGACCAGTTGGCGTTTATTGACAAGTGGCAGGTTAACTTAATGCATCTCTTTCCTTAAAAAAACAATTTCTGTTCTTTGAGTATGCAAGTTAGTTTCATATAGCTTTGTAGTATTTCAATTCCTTAAGTAGCAGATAATGTCATTGTTTATGGTGTATCGTCTGTTTGTTTACGAGGCTGTGAATCTGTGATTTACTTGGATATTTATTTATTTTAAGAAATCATGTTGGTAATAATGTGTGAAAAGCTAAAAGAGACCAAGAAATACATGCAAATAGAGTTTCAAAGTCGATCAGCGTAATCCTTGGGCATCATCTCTATTTTAAGTATTTGCTGAGAAGTTACACTCTATTTTAAGTATTTGCTGAGAAGTTACACTCTAGTTTCTAACGTCCGCATCAAATGACAATTTTTTCTTCACACTTATTCCATTTGCTTTTGATGATTGATACAGTCGTGACAAGGTAGGAATAGCTATCAAGAGGGTTGGAAATATGGAATTCTATTATTATACTTCCTTCTTTAAATTTTTGTTTTTTGTATTGTTTTTAGTCTATTTTGTTTTTTTATTAATATTATTAATTTATTTTATTTTATTTATTATTATTATTAAAAATATATTATAAATAATAATAAAGCAAACTTTGTTTTTATTAATCATAGAATATACTAGTAGTATGGTTATTATAATTGCGTGGCGCATTATGTATATTATACGCACATAAGTGTTTAGTCAAGCACTATATTATTTTTCAATGAATCAAAAGAAGGAATCATTTTCTCATTATTGAAAGAACGAATCAAGAGGATTCAATATATACAAAGTTCTTTCTTCTTCTTCCCTCTATCTAACAAACCCAACGACTAAGCTATTTACAACTATACATTTTTGTCACAAAAACAAATATATTCCAATACCTCCCCTCAAGTTGGAGGATGATCAATCATACCCAACTTGGAAACAACATCAGCATGGTCTGAACCATTTAAGACTTTCGTGAAACCATTTAAGACTTTCTTGAAAACATCAGCAGGTTGTTGTTTGGTAGAAATGTGAGACAATGTAACTATTCGTCCCTAAAGCTTTTCACGCACATGTTTTGTGTGCTCGTGGAAGACTGGATTCTTTGCAATATATATCGCCGCCATGTTATCACAATGTAAAGGGACAGGGTAATGTCAAGAATTTCAAATTCTACAAGCAATCTACTTAACCAAGCGAGTTCAGAACATACTCTTCTCATTAAACGATACTCTGCTTCAACAAAAGACAAAGAAACAATCGCTTGTTTCTTTGGCTTCCATGAAACAAGACTACCTCCTATTGTTATATAATAACCACTAACGTTCGGGTAGTCGAGCAGGCTGCCCAATCTAAGTTGCAAAATGCCTCAAGCTGATAACTTGGTTTATTATTCAAAAGTAAACATTTATAAATGGTACTTTGTAAGTAAGACAATACATGTTTTGTTGTATCAAAGTGACTTTGACATGGAGAACTGTTGAATTGACTCAAAAATTGCACAGTGAATGCAATATCTAGACGTGTATGCAGCAAGAAATTGAGCTTTCCTGTTAACTATCGATATGATGTGGCATCCAGAAGAGGATCATCATTAGTTATAGAGTGATTTGAGCTTACTTTGAAGTGGGGATGTAACTTGTGATGATGATGAAATGGAATATTCATCAAGTAAATCCTTTATGTATTTGTGCTGATGCATGATGATCCCATCTTGAGTATGAATAAATTCAAGACCTGAGAATAAATTAATCATTCTTAAATCTTTTATTTGAAAGCGTTTATGAAGTAATCTTTTCAGATCCATGATCTCTTATTCATTTTTTCTAGTTACAAGAATATCATCCACATAAACGGCCACAATAACCAATGAGTTGTCACTTTTCTTTGTGAATAATGAATGATTATTCTTGGATCTGACAAAACCTTTATCATGTAAAGCAGATGACAATTTGTCGTAGCATTTTCGTGATGCTTGTTTGATCCTGTACAACGACTTTTTCAATTTACAAACCATAGTTGATGAGGAGTCCATGCCTGGGGGGTAATTTCATATAAATAGTTTTCATGCAAATCACCATGCAAAAAATGCATTATTCACATCAAATTGATGGATCTTCCAAGCCTTTTTTACTGCAAGATTGACTAAGCATCTGACTGTATTGAATTTTATGACTGGTGAGAAGGTTTCATGAAAGTCAATACCTTCTTTTTGAGTGAAGCCCTTTGCCACAAGCCTGGCCTTGTACCTCATCTGACCCGTACTTCACTTTATAAACCCATTTGCATGAAATTGGTTTCTTACCCTTTGGAAGAAGAACTATATCCCAGGCAGTGTTGTAAAACTCGCCGAGTTGTCCGATTACTCCTCCGAGTACTCGTTACTCCCCCCCCCCCTTGCCGAGGCGAGTTACATAATCCCGAGTACTCCCTGATCGGCCCCTTACTGAATTGAGTAGTGTTGTGAAATTCGGTCAACTCGGTGATTAATATGTATAATATACTTAATGATTTATTATTTAACACACACATGTGATTATTACTACATATATATCTTAAATTTTCAGTAATTATTCACGAAGTGAGACCATTATGTGTTTTTCATTTTTTGTGTATTCACATGTATCCAATTTTGTTATATATTTCAATCAACTTATGATTTTATCTTATGATTTTGACATATATATTTTCCCTAAAAATATTTCTACAAAAATTTCCAAATCCGAGTACTCCCCGAGTACTCCTGAGTACTCGCTACTCGGTAGTCGGCCGAACAGGTACCGAGTAACGAGTTCTACAACCTTAATCCCAGGTGTGATTGGAATGTAGTGCATCAAATTCTTTCTTCATTGCTTCTTCCCATAAAGGATTTCCCTTAGCTTGATGATAAAGTTGAGGCTCAAAAATCTTATATTGGACATTTAAAGCTAAGAAATCAACTTGATTGATATAATGATCAAAGGATGGCTTGTCTAGTATGAACCAATTTGTGATTGTGTTATAGCATTCATCAGAACAATCACCTTGAGTTTGAACATTTGAGCAAATATAATCGTTTAAATGGGCAGGTTTGAAAGATATGCTGGTTGTTCTTCTTAATTGGGTTTGAGGTTTAGGAGAAATTTGTTGAGGTGGTTGAGGATGATTAAAAAGATTACCATATAGAGGAGGTTCAGAAATATGATCATTTGGTTCAATGAATTGATCATTTGAAGAAAGAGAGGATTGATTTTCATTTGATGAGTTAGAAGATTCTTCAAATATAATGGGAAAATATGAAGTATCAAGATTATAACCATTGTGTAATGGAAATTTGTCTTCAACAAAAACAACATGTCTTGTAACAGAAATACCCTTGGTATTCAAATTGAGGACTTTATTCCCTTTTTGACCAAAATGGTATCCAACAAATATACAAGTATCAACTCTTGGTTGAAATTTGTCTATATTATGAGAATTTGTGGAGCATAACATAGACATCCAAAAGAAATTGAGTTGGTGAGATTTGGTTTGACTTTGAACAGCATTTCATATGGTGAAGAATTATTGATAATCTTTGAAGGTATTCTATTAATAAGATATGCAGCAGTAAGAACACACTCTCCCCAATATGTTTTACCAATTCCAGATTGAAAAAATAGTGCTCTATGTTTTCTTTCAACAATTCCATTTTGTTGAGGTGTATTGGGGCAAGATTTTTGATGAATGATTCCTTGTTCTTGGAAATACTTAATACCTTCATTGCTTGAACCCAATTCAAAAGCATTATCTATTCTTATAGTTTTAACATTGGTGTTGAAGTGATTATTAACATGTTTGATGAAGGCTTTAATAAGAGTGAGTGTCGAACTCTTATGTTTCATCAAATGTACCCATGTGCATCTCGAATAGTCATCAACAAGTGTTAAGAAATATTTAAAACCATTATAAGTCTGAACTTTATAAGGTCCCCAAACATCAGCATGAAGAAGATCAAATGGATTAGTTGACACATAATCACTAGTAGTAAACGACAGCTTATGTTATCTTGCTTGATGACACATATCACAAGAATCAAAAGTCTGGTCCTTACAATCCTTCTTCAATAAATACATAATTTTCATCTTATATATTGGTAAATGACCTAATCTATTGATGGGTTTTGGGCACTATAACAACCTTATGGTGCACATACAACCCTAACGCTTTGGAACTAAGTTTTCTCTAATTATGCATGCAATATTGTTTCCAAAGCATGAAGCCTAAATTAGCATACAAAAGTTTGGTAATTGAACAATAAAACTAGTTAGATAGTTTACCTCTTGTCGTAGCTTGTTATTTTTGGCCTTTAAAAGCTTAGCACCCCAAGTGTGATGCCTCAAATGTTTCACAAGACACCATGAACAAAGGAGGACTTGAGAGAGAGATTTGGAAACACAAAATCGGTTATATGAACTCCAAGAACATTAGGTGAACCGATTTTGGCTAAGGGGTAACATTTATATAGTGTAGGATTCCAATGGTCATGTGTAAACCCTAATCCATACACATAGGCTTATGATCCATAACCCATGCGGACTAACTCTTTATGGATTCTTACATAAACTTAGTCCATCATTGATCAAAAGCCTAAACCATATGTATCACTAATTTACATAATTAGTCCGCGTTAATTTAATTAGTCTCTTTTGACCACTAAATTAATTCCAAATTAATTCTTGATCAATACTAATTAAATATTATGATTTCTTAATTAATATATTATACTTATAATATATTAGTAAATCATGAATAACCTCTTTCTCAAGTATCCATCCTATCAGATTGTCCTGGTGAATGCAACCCAAATGGACCATGCTACTCTTGGGTCAAGTTCATACAAATTATAGTTATGGGCTTAGACACCTAATCCAACATCTATAATGTCATAGATGATTATTGTCAATCTTATTAAAATTCATACAACTTTTGGAAAAATTATCTACAAATACAGGATTCTTCAAAATCTTGTGATTCCTGATGTAGAGATTTTTAATCCTTTTTCCAATGATGAACTT